AGAACTTACTTTTGGGTACTTTTTCTAACCGTGTAGCGATTTTAAATTGGCTCACTATTGGGCCTATTGGTCCCAAGCAAACGATTAACGTACCCTATTCTAGTCGAAATGCTAGTACTACACAATGTTTGTTTTGATTCGCTATGAAAGTTTGATAGATAAAAAGAGGGGTTAGTGTGAGGGGGACGACTCTATCTACGATGCAGAAAATATTGTGATTTGCTGTGACTAGCTGCGCGTACGCTGAGTAGATAGAAAGAAGATATTTCACGATTTTGAAGATTTCCTGCAAAAAGATGATGCGCGATGCAAGTAGATGCGAGAAATGAAAGAAGATTTTTCGAAGATTTATTCGCTAGTGTGAGATTTTATGAGCATCTAGAATTGAGATTTAGATGTGTCACCCCCTCGGGTTAGTGGATTTTCCTATGTTTCGAGGGGTGAATCGATTAGCTTGGGACCGAAGATAGTACCAGAGCTGAGCCAAAAAGTAGAGCTCGTTTCTTCGGGACCTACTAATCTTAGAGTTACCTCTATGACATTACTACCGTACAACAGACAAAACCAGAACACAAATCAGCGATTGCACCAACAAATCAGAAACAGGTGTTGATTCTCATTATGAACAGGAACATACCTGATATACCCTTATTGCATAGTATTTGACAATATTCCTAAAAACGATGGCCACCATCTTGGATTTCAAATGGTGGCGGGCATCGATTTTCGATCTCTATACGTCATCTCCGTTCCGAAAATATCCATATTTAAAGGTATTTGATTCCAGGTATTTGAACAGGTTTATTAACACCTTTCTTCACCCCACATTTCTCAATGTCTATCTCCTAACTCTTCCTCTTATGCTTACTCTTCTTTTCTCTCTATTGACTACACGCTATTTCAAAACTACCCAAATTTGGGTCGAATCCTCCCAGATCGGTCAAAACTGAACCTACCCAAAATGGGTAAACTGTGTTGGGAGTGACAAGTTGACAAATTAACAACGTCGATCGGATTCATGTCAATGTTGTTCATTTGTCAACTTGTCACTCCCAACACAGTTTACCCATTTTTGGGTAGGTTTAGTTTTGATCGATCTGGGTGGATTATACCCACATTTGGGTAGTTTTGAAATAGCGTGTACATGCCACTGGCTTCATATTGTTGTTCTTCAGCGTCGCTTGACGCCCGCCCACAAAGAATTGAGAAATCCAACTTAAAATCGTGCGCGCCTGGTGGCAGAAATAAGCACTAACCGACGGTGATAAGTCTGTGACAGCCCTTGACAATTTCATTGATTGTTTGCAAAATTGTTTAATTTCAATGTAATTTCATGCAAATTTCTTGTCAGCATGGATGAACCTTATACAAAATGCATAAAATTATTTTGTAATGCATTGTTCCTAAATAAAAAGGTACTTCAAGACAGTTAAATTACAGAAAACATGTTAAGGTTTGAAATCATCTGCCGATTAAACAGCAGACAAAGTTGGCCGACTAAATCAATCGACGAAAAACTATTAAATAGGCCGATTGCTCGGTGTAGCACCAGACGAAAAACGATTTAATCTGCTGATTAATACACCGACTGAAATAAATTTTTAAGTGGCAATAGTCGGTGGACGAATCGGGTGATCTGGATGATGTTTGTTTATTTGGAAGATATTTTCGAAACAAAGCACGATAAAATTCAGAATTATATACCATTATTACGAGTACTACTTTTTTGCTCGGATCATGTTTTGCCTCCCACAGAAACTCGCTAGAATAAATACAAAATAATAGTTTTTTGGTTGAAATTTCAAAAATGTATTCAGTTTGACACATTATTTCGGACTTATCACCGCTGCGATTGCAGCGCCACGGTGGCCGATTGAAGCTTGGATTTGTCAATACCGGAACGTACTCCCTCTACTTTACTCCTACACTCAAAATAATTTTCACGTCAATGCTACGTGAAAACATACATAGATTTTTTCCATCGCACTTTTCACGTAAGTGTAAGTGGTCACGGGATTATCACGTAGAAGCTATGTGATTCTTGCGATGGAATTCATTATGGTTTTCAATTATTCCGGGTTAATTAAATTAAATGTTTTTCTTGATTTCAAATGAAAAAAGATCCTACAGTATTTTTTGACCATTGTATCTTTATTGTGGCAGATATACACACAGAAGAATAAATTAATTCGAGCGAAACTGGACTCGGGAAGGATATGGGACACATATTATACAAGGGCATTTAACTCGCATATCAATCCATGGTTCAATCAACAATCAATACGAAACTAACGATTTTAAATTGGCTCACCACTTTAGTAGCCTATTGGTCCCAAGAAAACGATTAACGTACCCTTATTCTAGTTGAAATTCTATTACTACACTATGTTTGTTTTGATTCGCTATGAAAGTTTGACAGATAACATCAGGGGTGTGTGGATTCATGCAGAACATGCAGGGGTGAGTGAAATAGCTTGGGACTGCTTGGGACCGTTGTTCTGGTACTGAGTGAGCCAAAAATAATAATGATTTTCTTCGGGACCCAGTGGTCTTAGAGTTACCTCTATGGTTCAATCGTCAGACTAAAACAAAGAAACATGTTACACATTATTCTCACCATACAATTTGTCTGTGATAAAATATTCAGCCATTATACTTACAACACGAAATTGTCTCACGAAAATAAACCCTAAGATTTTAACTGACATGTAAAAATGCAACTTGCAATTCCACCATATTGTGCACCATTATGAGTAAGGCACTCATTTATTTTTTCATATGTGAAAAATCATTTAGGGTTTACGTGAAATGCACATAGAAATTGTGTATGTGCAAATCACGTGCGTTCCATTAAAAAACCTAGTGAATATAAAGGGACTTCCCGTTGATACATATGGGGTATCACGTAGACTCTAATTGTGTCACGTAAATTTAACATAAAACATAAAAGAGAGACTCCACGTGATTTTTCAGGTAACAATAACGTGTCGATTATTTTGAGTGACTGCTCGCCATCGCCCCTTGCCCACTGCGATTTACGTCGATGCTTCAGCTCTAGCGCCTTCACAGTTCGGTTTGGCTCTCCGGAACTAGCTGGCAGGCGGCTCTACGTCCAGTTTTCGCAACGCCACAATCGCTCAAGACGAAACGAATCCGAAGCCGGAGCAAATGTCCAAACAAAAATGTCGGAACAGAAAAGTCCAATAAAAAAAAGAAAGGACCCTGTGTTAGGGAAGCGGCTTTAGTTTGGGATCCATTTTACAATCGTGCAATAATTGCACTTACGGATAAATTTGATCCCTTTGTGCTTCGAGCCTGCCTTCTCGATCAATACTACGGCCATAGAGGTAACTCTAAGACCAGAAGGTCCTGAAGAAACTTGCACAACTTTTTGGCTCAGCTCTGGTATTATCTTCGATCCCAAGCTAATCGATTCACCCCTCGAAACATAGGAAAAACCAATAACCCCTCATTTTATCTGTCAAACTTTCATAGCGAATCAAAACAAACATTGCGTAGTACTAGAATTTCGACTAGTATGGGGTACGTTAATCGATTTGCTTGGGACCAATAGGCTAGTCAAGTAGTGAGCCAATTTAAAATCGTTAGTTTCGTATTGATTGTTGCTACGGCCGCGTGTTTGGCAGCAGAGATAACACAGGTCGTGCAACAAACGCTATCTCTAGTTACCTGCACCTTTCTCGGGGTAATCGTGTCGGCTCTTGTTCAAATTGAACCGATTGGCAGTCGGTGTTCTTCCTCGGTGCGGTTTCACGGATGCTATTTGGAATGTAAGAGATTACTTTCTCGTGGGGAACATCAATGAAGAATTGTTGATGGTAGTAACGCTTTGTACATTCCTATCAATGTGCTCGTCGAAGCTCTCTCCATGACCATCCATCAAGTTGACGAAAGAAGTAAAAAGCAACTGGTGAATGTCGTCTTCGGTGGTGATCCATCACCGATCTGGTCATTCCGGACAATCACGACACTCATCTGTGCTAGTTTTGAATCAGTTGCTGCTTTGCTTGCTTATGTGAGTGTGTTGCTCAGTGAGCCCAACAGCTTCCGTTTAATCACAGACAAACCGACGTAACACGTTGAAAAAGTTTTTCTTGAAAACATAGTATCTCAAAACATAGGATAATGTGTAGGCATTATTTTATTTTTCTTCTGTCGTTTCGCTTTTTCTCATCATCGTACTGCAGAAGTCTTCACTGTTTTCGTTGTGCTTTTCATCATCAGCAGCGAGTGTAACGTTTTGCTTGTGAGCAGCGACCATTACTGTTGATTGTTGTTTTCCATGGCTCTACCTCTCACTGCGTGACAAAACGTTCTGTCAGCGATAGTCGGTTGATGCGTGGATGAGTGTCACGTGAGTGTCATGATATTTTGCATCACTGAGTGGATGGCCTTTTCTTCCGTACACTGGGTCTGCTGCGTGCTGCCGAAAATGAAAGGTTGGTTGCACGTAGGACCAAACAATGCCGAGACATTTACCGCCGCTTTTGTGATTGCTTCACCACCGACGTCAGTCGATATTGTGAGAATTCGTTTTCACAAAATTGATTGAACTGTTATATTGGTTCATCTCCAATCGAATGATATGCAAATTAACAGGACTGCCAACTCGGCATTTAAGGGAGCTCAGAGTTACAAAATGATCGAGGTGTTAAAATTCATTTTTACAATAGTTCTATAATTTTATATCTAGTTGTGGAGAGTTGACAGTACACTTCAAAACCATGGTTTCCCTAAATCTGGAATCAAGAATGAATCATATCTTCGAATCCAAATGTCTAACCGGGATAAAAATCAATAGAATTCAATGGGAGTCAGAAACAAACCAAATAAAAACCCGTTGTTTTTAATTGGTTCATCAAACTCCGAGAAAATTTAGGTTACGAGAGATGCCAAAATCTAACATCTTTCCATATGTCGCTTCTACATCATTCTAAAGTATTTAACACGCATCTCTAACCTTTTTTTCCATCCCACAGCGAAGAATGGGAGCTCATCAAACAGCACAAGGCGCCCAGCATCCTGGAGTTCCGGCCGAAGAACCAAGGACCCACGGAGGTGCAGCTACACTTTCTGGAAATTCTCACCAAAGCGGTACACAATCTGTTCCAGTACATGGACATCCCGGTGGACGTAGCGGTGGCCCATCGCCTGTACGATGTCGAAGTCATCGAGCTGAACAACGACGTTAGTTTTCTGATCATCTGTCCTCCGGCGGAGAGTAGCTGCGCTGTACCCGGCCAGAAGGACATACTTCTGCAGCGGGGAGATCTGTTTTCGATGCCGATACAGGCTTTCGAAATGATCCACCTCAAGACGTACCAGATCAGCATCGTTCAGAAGTACTCACGGTTGTCGTGCATCCTGGAGTTGGACACGATGATGGCCAACCATCTCCACAGAGAAGCATTCAGCACTTCAGAGTTGCAGAAGGCTAAGGATCGGTTAGCGAAACTTCAGGATTTGTCCTCTGGGTTAAATACGGTCTGGAAAGGGGTTCGCTGGTTGATGGATGTTATTGGCTACGCTAGGGACCGGGCCAATATGCCGGAGTTGAATATGAAGCAAATTTTGGATTACAAGAGTACGTACTTTGGTAAGAAGAGCAGTTCTGAAAAGAAGGGTGGAAGCGAGGCGCAGCTGTTGCAGCCACCCACCAACCCACCGGTGTTTCATAAAAGCAGTCCCGGGCGAGGTTCATGGCCTGGACCAGCTGTTGAATATCCACTGGGTCATAATGGTCTTTTGGACGCGGAGCATTCCAAATCCGAGCAACTGCTAAAGTACAATAGTCAGCGATTCCTAAACGTAAGCAATATGAACTCCCGGAAGAATAGTGCCGATTCGGCTTACTCCAATTCCGGCAATAGTTACTACTCGGTGACGGAAGTTGAACCGGAAAAGGAGTTCGTTATACCAAGGTTACCACCATCTCGATCGGAGGATACTCTGGTTGATAAGAAAAAAGCATCTGAACAGGCAAGTGGGAATAAGAAACGGCCACCGACGATGTACTCTAGCTACTCGGCAACATCCAGCCCACTGTTGAGTGTTCGGTCGCCTTTCGTAGCAACAATAGCCACCGTAACGAAGGCATCAAGTGGAGAAGACTCCGAAAATCGCACCGCAAATCCACCCCCACTGAAAGTGATCAGCAAGAAACCTCGCGAGCAAGCCCTGAAGACGCTCAACCAAATTGAGCCGGACTATGAACCGATCGTTACAACGTACCTAAAGCCAACCCTGACGGCCCTGCAGAACGAAGCGAAAGGTTACCAAACAGCTCTGCATATCGCTGAAGAGCCACCAAATCTGCTCCAACAGCTGCCACCGGATGTGCTGGATCATCGAACCATGGCGGAAGCCACTACCGTACCAGATCTTGCTCAATCATCTCAGCGGCGACAACCCGTCGCCACGGAACCAGCAACCGAGTCGAACCCAACGGAACCTTCCGCCCCGCTGACCACCAGTATCGTGCAGGTGTATGCCGCCTACGAAACGGGACTTCCGAGCGGAACATCGCTCAAGCTACGAGTGACCCAGAAAACTACGGCTCGCGAAGTGATCGACCTGGTCGTCAAACAGCTCAACATGGCAGTGGTGCTGAAGGGTAAGGATGGACCGATCTACGCGGCTGACAAGCTGGACAATTTTTGCCTGGTGGCGGTCATCGGCGCACGGGAACGCTGCTTGCGGGATGACTTCCGCCCGCTCCAGCTGCAGAACCCCTGGAAGAAGGGTCGGCTCTACGTGCGGCAGAAACATGATCTCCTAGCGGCAATCGAACATTCCAACCGGGATACGGCTGAAATATAGTGATAGAACGCTGCGTGTGTGATTGTGTGAGTGCGAGTTTCCAGATTTTTAATGTGTGTGTATGTGTGTGTGTTTGTATGTAGATTAGATTAGACCAGGCAGTTCGATATGTAGAATAATTAAAACGAAACAGAAAAATGAAAGACACCGATGTGATAGAACCTTTTTTGAAAACCAACAAATTTGGTTACGCCGAAGGGCTCTCTATTTTAGAAATTGGCCGCAAATTTCGTAGGAAATGTGGTTCCCCTTGAGGGCGCATCTAATTTTAGGTAATTTATGCTAAAAGAAATAGATTTAGAAAATTGAGTTCAAAGTGAAAATTTTGATTTCCGACGAATTATCCACCATTCATGAAACAATTATGCTAGGGGGAAAAAGTGAATACCTACTATTAGTCATTGCGAGAGGTTTTAAAATTACGGTTAGACAACTGAATCTATGTGTGGTGGAGAAGACATCAAAAATACCAAATAACGGAACAGCAGAAATCGACTTTTAATCGTAGCTGTACTTTTGATTATTGATAGTAGAAAAAAAACAGGACATAAAAGCACTAGACCTATTGAAAAATCATAGATCAAACTGTGGTAGATCGATTTTGAATCAATGTAAATGGCGGCTGATGTGTATCGAAAAAAAAAATTAAACTGTTGTTATGAGATGATAGACGCAGCAAAATTGTTATCATTTAGGAATACCTTTACAACCAAGCTCGAGTAGAGAGAAAAAAAACGATAAAAGCTCATCATTGATCGTGAAAACTTGCGAATCCTGTCCCATATTCTCAGTTTTCTCTAGGAACACTTCAACTGCTTTTGAGGAAAGATCAAACACCGGGAAGATTGAGTACATTATTCACATCGAGCTTATTCCTCCATTTTTTGGTGACGATAGATGCTTGCATTAGCTCAACAGCAAACGATAGCTACAAAAAAATGACCGAGAAAATCGTAAATATCAAAACTAATTTCTTCCTGCTGAGAAGCACGATAGGCAACGATTGATGAGAAACCGTTCCTACGAGGCGATTACCTTTATAAAATGATAAATAATGATAGTAGTTTTCAAAACAAGCCAATCCTGAACAGTGCAGTTTCAGATGACTCAAGAGTAGAGTTCAACTGAAGCTACGAAAGGAAAGATACAAACTTGTGACTAAATATTGAAGATGATTGTGTACATAGGAGTAAAAGCAAGCTGAAGTAAATCCCATGATAAGAATTTAAGAAAAAAAACAATAGATATTAACTGAAACACACCATGGAAAAGAGTAAATTCCAATCCAATCTATAGAATTAAATTCATAAAAGATGCACAAGAGATTCTCTATACATGTTGAACAGAAAATATTTAAAACAATAACAAAGTGGTTGTCATTTTAGATCCGAAAATTCCTCCCATTCTCCCTGGGCTCAGTGCTCTACACTGAACGAAAACATCCGCAATACTTCGACTGATTATTGTATTGCTCGAGCCCTTTAACAATATGCTGTCGATTTTCGGATTATTTCTTTATGGTTGAATTGAGTTCTTTAATTTTGAAAAATTAATCGGTTCTTATATATCATCTGAAAGAACTTCGTTTTCTGAGCACAGCGATTTTTTTTCGAACCCACACACTTTCATCTCGATTTTTAAATCAAGATTTAAAGCAAAATAATAACTTCACTGTTTGACACTAAACTGACAAACTGACAGCTCGCTCCTATACAAAGTGACACCGAGGGGCGTTAATAATGTGATTTCTGCAAATGTAATCGCACTTATTTAAAATAGTTCCAGTGTATCAAAATTGATGAAATTTTGGGTTTGGGTTTCATTTTTAATGCAGATTACGAATACCCTCAATACCCTTAAAGAACCCAATTCGTCATCAAGTGATGAGCATCCATATAACTGTCCTCCAAATAAAGGATGATATTTATTTGAACATTGTCTGTTAAACACACAGGGCTCAGAGGACACAAATTTAAGGAAAGGATGAACTGCAAATGCATTAGATTATTAAAACGATTGTTTACATTTCCATATTGAATAGCCCGGAACAGCCATTCATCATGGATACAAAAATTACTTGTTGGTAGAGGAAACATCCTCCACCACGAAATAGACAATTGTCTTGTTTAGGGGTATTGAGGTTAATACATATTTGTTATCTGCATTAAAAATGGATTAATTTTGGTACACTGGAACTATGTTAAATAAGTACGATTACATTCGCAATAATCACCATCTTAGCGTCCCTTTGTGGGACTTTGTATGGGAGCGAGCTGTCAACAAATAGATTTAGTGTCAACGATCAAAAATTTAAATCTTGATTTAAAAATCGAGATGAATGTCTACGGGATCGATAAAAATATCGTTGTGCTCAGAAAACAAAGCTCTAGCAGATGATGGATAAAAATTGGTATATTTTTTTAGGTTAAACAACCCATTTTTTTTTTTACTTTGAATGATCTTTATTTCTTGTATTTGTTTGGTTTACATGTATGAATTTTCAAGTGACAGATGCGTTTTTTCAACTTAAGTTATTTTGAAATTTTAATCATTATTTACTGTTCCTAGTCCAGCAGGCCTGTTAGAGAGTGACCACCTTGGTGGGATTAGTTTGTTTTGAATTGGAAAAATTAGACTACTTAAAACTACTATTTACAACTACAACTAATCTACAACTACTATATACACCTAAGGGTACGGCCAGGGTAGACGCGATTCGCGACGCGACGCGACCAATTCAAAAGAATCTTATTATTTATTATTATTCCTTGCGTGAGTCGCATCGCGTCGCGTCGCGTGTCGCGTCTACCCTGGCCACGGCCTAACCTACTAAAGGGTTATACGGTCAAAATTTCAGTGCCAACATTTCAAAGGGGCGTAATTGCATTTGTAAACAATGGCTTTAGCCATCGATTTCTCGCAAATAAAAACTCACTCATGAAAAATAATGACACCACCAGGTAGAGGAATGTTTCCTCTATCAGCTAGCATTGTAATATTGGAGAGGTAAGATATCATACGCGAGAAATTGACGGCTAAAGTCATTGTTTACAAAAGCAATTACGCCCCTTTGAAATGTTGACACTGATTTGGTCAATATCAACTTGACGTATTTCTTTCAATTTTGCATTTAAAAAATCTGAACACCCCTCATTTTGAAGGTGTGTGTGTGTGTAAAATGTTGCTCCTATTTTGATTTTGGAATTCACTCTTCAGTTGTCAAAATGCCGTCCAAGCAAGAAGAGCAGCGTATCAAAATTTTGCTCGCGCATCGCGAAAATCCGAGCTACTCGCACGCAAAGTTGACAAAATCGCTAAAAGTTGCCAAATCAACCGTTACAAATGTAATTAAAGTGTTTGGGGAACGTTTGTCGACCGCCAGGAAGTCTGGATCGGGGGGAAATCGAAAACCGGAAGCCGCTGAGACGACAAAGAGAGTTGCCGGTAGTTTCAAGCGAAACCCTAACCTCTCTCTCCGAGATGCCGCAAATAAGCTGGGTGTATCGTCTACAACCGTGCATCGAGCCAAAAAACGAGCCGGACTATCGACTTACAAGAAGGTAGTGACTCCAAATCGCGATGATAAACAAAATACGACGGCCAAAGCGCGATCCCGGAGGCTGTACACGACGATGCTGACGAAGTTTGACTGCGTGGTAATGGACGACGAAACCTACGTCAAAGCCGACTACAAGCAGCTTCCGGGACAGGAGTTTTATACGGCAAAAGGAAGGGGAAAGGTAGCAGATGTTTTCAAGCACATGAAACTGTCAAAGTTCGCAAAGAAATATCTGGTTTGGCAAGCCATCTGTACCTGTGGCTTGAAAAGCAGCATTTTCATAGCTTCCGGGACTGTCAACCAAGAAATTTACGTGAAAGAGTGTTTGAATAAACGTCTGCTGCCTTTCCTGAAGAAACACGGTTGTTCCGTACTGTTTTGGCCTGTCTTGCCATTACGGTAAAAAGGCCATGGAGTGGTACGCCGCCAACAACGTGCAGGTGGTTCCCAAGGACAAGAACCCTCCCAACACGCCAGAGCTCCGCCCAATTGAGAAATACTGGGCTATTGTCAAGCGGAACCTAAAGAAGACCAAAAAAACTGCTAAGGGCGAGCAGCAGTTCAAACTGGCTTTCTGCGGCGAAGAAGGTGGACAAGGTGGCTGTACAAAATCTAATGGCAGGGGTCAAGCGTAAGGCCCGGCAATTCGGATTTGGAAAAGCGGAAGCCTAACTGAATATTTTTCCTGAATTTTATACTAATTGAACTTGAAAAAGAAATTTAATTTGATTTTTTAAATAAACGATTTCCCCAATTTACACGCGTTTTCCCTTGACTAAATTTTGACCGTATCACCCTTTATATACAAATTGCTCATCAAAGCATGTTCTGATGTATTGCATTTCTGCACAAATTTGTTCCTAATTTCGTTAATTTGAAAATATACTTTCGGAATGTTAGCCTCTTGATGGGGGTTGGAAATGCGGGTATCGAAAGGACGATCAAGGATCATCCTCAATACCCTGTTCTGCGCTACCTGTATTTTGTTCCAGTGAGTTTGTGCACATGATTCCCACACCGGAGCTGCGTAGAAGATTGCAGGCGCAATGATTTGTTTGTAGACAGCCAGTTTGTTCACCCTCGAGAGACGAGATCTGCGGCAAATTAGCGGATACAAGCACCTAACTAGATTGGAACACTTAAATATGTGCGAGCGGAAAAGGAGCTTCTCGTCAAATAAAATACCAAGATATGTTACTTCGGTGGACCACTCAACCCTTGTGCCATCCATTATTACAGTACAAGAGATTGTTGATTGGGTTTTGGAAGCATTGATTTTGATTTTCCACGTGTTGCCATAATCAGCAAAGGTGTCAAGGCATCGTTGAAGCTTGTTTGTTATTTCACGAGGCATCCTTCCCTTGACGGTTATGGCGGTATCATCTGCGAACAGGAAGAACATGCAACCGTTGCCCAAGGGACGAATGTCGGAAGTGTGGATGCTGTATACCAAAGGACCCAACAGACTTCCTTGCGGAACACCTGCTGGGATGGAAAAGGTGTTTGAATTGCAACCATTCAAAGATATCTTAAACGACCTTTGCTGGAGGTAGTTTCGGGTGATTTTTACAAGATGTGGTGGAAAGTTGAAGTTACAAAGCTTGTACACAAGCCCGTCATGCCAAACATTGTCAAACGCCTTTTCAACGTCTAGCAATGCCATGGCTGTGGAGTTGGATACAGCTTTGTTACTTCGAATGTTATTCATCACCCAAACTAGCTGGTGATTTGTGGAATGCCCCTTCCTAAACCCAAACTGCTCAGGTAGGAGAATGTTGTTCTCCTCGACAAACTTAAGCAAACGGTTGAGAATTAGTTTCTCGAACAATTTGCTCAGCGCTGAAAGGAGGCTGATTGGTCTGTAGCTGGAAGGTAGTGATGGATCCTTACCGGGTTTGCGGATTGGTATGATTTTTGCTACCTTCCTTTCCTCATTGTGGTGGACACGCCGTGATCCACCTTTAGCCGCTGACCTAGTCCTGCTT